TATACATTTTACTAATTTCCTTTCATCGCTGACACTTCTATTATAGAGAAAGGGCAAATAGCAATATTAAAATATTTCCTCTAATTAATTCCCTTTTAATGTGCATGAATTTCGTGCACCAGGCCACTAGTAAATAAATAATAATAATATAAGAATAAACAGTTTCACATACAACTGTAAACCTACTTTTGCCCCACCCTGTATACATACAACTATCTAATGTACACAAAAAATTTGCATAAACATGAATCCCACACACTCACAAAGAGAAGAAAAAAGTAATTTTAAAATATTAGACCAGACCAACTACACCTGTTCTTAAAGTCAAGGTTCTAAAATTAGAATAGATTATAAGGATTACTGATGCTTGTCTTTTAGAGGCAACATGATAGAGTGAAAAACCCATAGGCATTTGAGATGTACAAATGCATCTCACAACCCAGGACTGGATTCTAGCTCTGACTCAACACCTAACCAGGTATGGAATTTGAGGCAAGTTATTTAAACTCTATGAGTGTCAGGTTTCTCAACTGCAAGATAGAATAATACCATCTACCTTTTAAGGTTGCTGTCGGGATAAAAAAAATCTACAAAGCCAGACACACACAGTAAATATGAAAAATCTCCCTTATGATCCTCGGAGCAAACATTCCAGGTAACTCCAAGGAAAATAAAATTTACATCCTCATAATCAGCTAACAACTTAACTTCCTACTTTAGGGTAGTATCTAAGAACAGAAACTAATGTTCTGAAGTACATTCGTTAATTTCTCAAATGTACTAATTTATGAAGCTTTTGCAAATTTAAGTATCCTCAGAAGTGCTCAATTGGCTATAGATAGAGATCTTGTGTGAATAATCAGCTATTACTGCAAAGCAGGTCTCTAATGCTTTTCAATTTCATTTTCATCTGCCTTTCTGTTCTCCCCCAAATTGTTCAACTTCTCAATAAAAGATCAAAATACATATTAAATGTATATAATTCAGGCTGTCACTCAAAAAGACTACCAATAAAGTTATTTAATTGATATGTTTTATTTTTCAATATATCTCAAAGAAATATAGACCTATTTAAAGGTTTATGCTTACACTGACGGAAGCCTTCAGATGACACAATTTGGAGCTAAAAATATCCCTTCATATCTCAGCTTTGTAGTAATTCTTCAACTGTTAAAGTACAGGACCTACCATCATTTTTATGCTTTTTTCTGGAGCTATTCTATTCCCTTCACACTAGGAATAACTATTCCTACATATCGCTCCACCATCACAAATTCCAATTCTTTCTTATAAGACTCAAAAAGCGACATTTATGAAGCAGTCCAAACGGTGTTTCCTGATACTCCTCTAGAGGGCACACAGGGCTCTTCTAACTTTACCATGCATGCCCCTAACCTCAGATAAAAATTCAACATCCCCTGAAACATGTGCCATCTGGCTGTACCTGCCGACATTATTCTACTAATCTATTGATTACTCAATGCATTTACTGAGACTTTGGCATCTAATGCATAGTCTTTCTTTCCACCTGAACTTTAGGCAAGTTACTCAAGCTCTCTGAGCCCTATCCTTCTCATCTGTAAAATGTGGATAAAGATAGTATCTACCTGAGTGTAGTTGGAGGATTAAATGAAATAATGTACATTAAGTATCCATGTAGGCCTATGGTTTTAGAAAACTGGTGAACTAAGAACCCCAAAATTCTGTTATGAACACCTAAAAACTTTGGATAAGACATTACTGCAAATATAGTCAAACTTATAAGAAAGAAAAGGAAAATACCAAGCACCAGAACTGAAGAAGGAAATGAACACTTAGTTGAAACCTTGGTTACCCTAACTGAGGTTTTTTTTTTGCTTGGTTTTGTTTTTATTGATTTCAGAGAGGAAGAGAGAGGGAGAGAGAGAAACTTCAATGATGAGAGAGAATCATTGATCATTTACCTCCTGCATGTCCCACACTGCAGATTGAGCCTGCAACCTGGGCATGTACCCTGACTTGGAATTTAACTGTGACCGCGTGGTTCATATGTTGATGCTCAACCATTGAGCCATGCCGGCCGGGCTTAACTGAGGTTTTTAAAGGCTTCATTGGGCCAAAATAAGTGTCTTGAAGCTGATATGAAGCAGAAAATTTGAACTGAGACCTTACATAAAGGGGACCTCAGTGAAAGGGTAAACTTCAGAGAAAAAATAATCTACCTACAGCACAGGGAGTCATCTAGAAGGTTTGTCTGTCTCTGGGCTTGGGACACAAAATTCTGAAGAACATTACTTCTAACCTAGAATTCTATACAAAGGTAAGTTGTCATTCAAGAAAAGGATGGAATAAAACATTCTCAAACATGCAAGTTCTCAAAATATTTACCTTCTGTGCTCTTTCTTTGAGAAGCCAATAAAGTTTGGGTTCCTTTGAAATGAGGAAGTAAACCAAGAAAGAGAAAAACATGGGATCTGGGAACCTGGCATCCAACACAGGAGGGAGAAGGGAATTCCCAGAACGATGGTAAAGAGAAGCCCCAGGATGACAGCTCTGCAACAGCCTAGAGAGCAACCAGTAGAGAGATTTGAAGAGAGAATGGATGGCTCACAAGAGGGCTGTCTCAAAGGAAAAAATAAGCCCTTTGTTAAACTACTTTATTGAAGTATGATTGACATATAAAAAACTGTGCATAGGAAACTTTGGGCTTTTTAAAGAAATGTCTGATTTCAGATCTGGATACAATAGAATAGAGATTACACATATGAAATATTATTGCCAAAAAAGTTGAAACTGAATCTAATCTGGGAAAAAGAAAAAAGTTCAATGACATCAGTAGAAAGCAATTGGACATACCAAAGATGTGGGATGTTCTACAGGACAAATAATCGGTTTCTTTGAAAAGTAAGTGGCTTAAGGAAAAAAAGTGGTTGGAGGGGAGACTGTTCTAGAGTAAAAGAGACTAAAAAGATATAATCGCGCCCTAGCTGGTTTGGCTTAGTGGACAGAGTGCCAGCCTGCGGACTCAAGGGTCCCAGGTTCGATTCCGGTCAAGGGCATGTACCTTGGTTGCGGGCACATCCCCAGTGGGGAGTGTGCAGGAGGCAGCTGATCGATGTTTCTCTCTCATCGATGTTTCTAGCTCTCTATCCCTCTCCCTTCCTCTCTGTAAAAAATCAATAAAATATATTAAAAAAAAAAGATATAATCGCCCTGGCCAGTTTTGCTCAGTGGATAGAGCATCTGCCTGTGGATTGAATGGTCTCGGGTTCGATTCCGGTCGGGGGCACATGCCCAGGTTGCAGGCTAGATCCCCAGTGGGGGGTGTGCAGGAGGCAGCCGGTCGATGATTCTCTCTCATCAGTGATGCTTCTATCTCTCTCTCTCCCTTCTTTCCTCTCTGAAATGAATTAAAAAAAAAAAAAAGATATAATTAGCCTGGCCAGTGTGACTCAATGGTAGAGCATTGACCTATGGGACCAGGAGATTAGGGTTCCATTCCCGATCGGGGCACATGCCCGGATTGTGGGCTCGATCCCCAGTGTGGGGCATGCAGGAGGCAGATGATCAATGATTCTCTCTCATTGATGTTTCTGAAAAATATTATGTTAAACAAAATAAACCAGAATAAAATTGTATGATTCCATTTATATCTAGTTCATAAATAAGCAAAATTAAGATATGCTGATAGAAATCAGAATAGCAGTTGACTCTATAGGTGGGGGACTGACTAACAAGAGACACAAAGGAAATTTCAGAGGTGATGGAAATAGTCTAGATTTGGGTAATGGTAAATTGGATGTATATATTTTTCAAAACTCATTGAACCCATTAATATCTGTATTTTACTGTGTGTAAATTATCCCCCCCAAAAGGGAAGGGAGGGCCATGTACATTTCTGCATAAATTTTTTGTTCTTCAATGCATAGGTAGGTTGAACATATTAATACATCTGTTTGCAGTCACCAGAAATAGCAGAAGAAGGTCTGCCCCCCAGTTCAAACAAGATGGCAACGTTATCACACAGACTGGACTTTTTCAAAAGGACATCAATTTTAGAATAATTTATGATGGCTTTTCCTCAGTTTGTGGGCCACCAGCCACTGGGAGACTGTGTACTCATATCCATATGCCCTTGTTAGTTTCTTTTAAAAATATATTTTTATTGATTTCAGAGAAGAAGGGAGAGGGGAGAGAAATATAGAAACATCAATGATAAGAGAGAATCATTGAATGGCTGCCTCTTGCACACCCCCTACTGGGGATCGAGCCCACAACCTAGGCATGTGCCCTTGACCAGAATTGAACCCGAGACTCTTTAGTCCACAGGCTGATGCTCTATCTACTGAGCCAAACCAACTAGGGCCCTTGTTAGTTTCTTAACCAAAGGAGACTAAAAGTTTAAATATTATCATGTGAGGGGATCTGCAATTTTTTATTTTATTTATTTATTTTTTAAAAATATTTTTTTATTGATTTCAGAGAGGAAGGGAGAGGTAGAGAGAGATAGAAACATCAATGATGAGAGGGAATCATTGATTGGCTGCCTCTTGCATGCCCCCTACTGGGGATCGAGCCCACAACCCGGGCATGTGCCCTCGACCAGATTTGAACCTGGGACCCTTCAGTGCGAAGGCCGACACTCTATCCACTGAGCCAAACCAGCCAGGGCGGGATCTGCAATTTTTTAAAGTTCCTTTGTATTTCTTTCTAGTTAATCTATCTAATAATTTTGCTTATTCATTAATTTCATATAAATAGAATGTTTTAAAGTAAATTTGAATTATATATATATTTTTCATAAAGATGTACTATTACCTTAAAATATTGGAAACCAGTGACTAAATGTCTAAATCTTTACTTAGTAATTAAACTAAAAAGAGTTGAAGAGTACATGCACAACAAAGTATGTGATGCAATAATATATATTTTAAAAAGCATTGTAAACTATAAAGTACTGGAAAAACATAAGATAACATTTACCTTTTATAAACAATAAAAATCAAGAAATAGTTTTTCACCTTAAGTTTTGGATATATGTGGCGCAGAGAATCTGCAGTTCCCTTGTCAGCCTCATCAGGAATACACACGATATCTAGCTTCATTTTCATCTTGAATTCTGCAGATAAAGCCTTTTGGACATCCCTGGTTGTAATGACAATGACTTCTACAGCACAAAAGAAAAAAAAGAAGGAAAAATACAAAAACTCTCATTCATTTAGATAATGATTCGTCTATTTTAATTAGATTTGGTCTGTTTCTAACAGTTAATATTGTTGAGCCTTTTCAATGTATTTTACTGCATTCTCTCAATTCTTAATAACAATCTCATTTTACAAATGAGGAAACTGGGACTTTATGTTGTTTGACTTTGTTCAGGGTCACATGATTAGTAAGCAATGGATTCAAGATAAAACTCAGGTCTGTCTAATTAGAGCCCTCACTTTAATATATTACATGATGCTTCTTGATGTAAAGAACCCAGAAGAGCACTCATCAAAGCATATACAAATGGGATCCCATTTTAAATCTTCATTTACTACAGAGAAAGAGCTATCACCATTTCCTATGAGGTAGCCACAATGAATCCTCGTTAGAGGCAATTTTCACATAACAGATGTCTTTACTTTATCCATGTAGCTATCAACCAATGCTAGAAAACTTGGGGTTTTGTCATGGATCTTTGGTAGGGTAATGTAAATTCACTGTAACATAACATGTGTTGCTGACGTCTAAAGATTGAATTTTAGCATCTCTATAGTGGAAAAATTTCCACTTGTTCCATTATAGTATTCCAGGTCACAATTATCTCTCCCTTTCACTGTAAGCATTCTTTTCTATTTTCTTCCCTTCTCTTCTTTCTTTCTTTTTGAAATCATTTAACCTTCCTTCTTCCTTTTTTTTCTTCTTTCTTCCTCTCCCTACTCTGCTTTGAGTCACTAATTTACTCATTCATCCAATAAATACAAATACATTTAATATGTAAAGAACAAATAGGCACTGAGAATTCAGAAATGAACTCAACATGGTTCTTATTTTTAAGAAACCTAACATGAAGAAATTATACATGGAAACGGTTAAGGAAGGTATCATGGAAGGGATGGCCTTTGAGGACACGATGAATTTTAAGTACAACAAAAATTTCTTTTAATTAAAAATATTTTTATTGAAATGATTGGGGTGACACTGATTAATAAAATTATACAGGTTTCAGGTGTACAATTATGCAATATTACAAAAATTTCTTTAGTACATATTTATGTAAAATGCTGACATTACAAAAATGAATTAGATATAGTACTTGTTCTCAGAGAGATCAGTCCCCCAGGCCATTAACTACAGCATGAAACAGGCATTGAGAGGTACTAAGATAGAAAACCAAAGTGTGATGGAAGCATAGAAGACACGGTGATTGATGCTGTTCAGGATTTCAGAGAGAAGGAGAGGACATTTTAGGTAGAGTGGATAGAGTGAAAGAAGTAACAACTGCAAAAGTCAGTCTAATAATTGGACCAAGACTTTTCTGTACGGAGAGAGACAAAAGTAAGGTCTATGTTAACTTCTCTAAAATCATGACTTGGTTATTAAACTCCAGAATACTATGTTTAGTAAGCACTCTCCCATTCCTTAGTGAGAAGGAATTTTTTTTTTTAAATATATTTTATTGATTTTTTACAGAGAAGAAGGGAGAGGGATAGAGAGTTAGAAACATCGATGAGAGAGAAACATCGATCAGCTGCCTCCTGCACGCCCCCCACTGGGGATGTGCCCGCAACCAAGGTACATGCCCTTGACCGGAATCGAACCCGGGACCCTTCAGTCTGCAGGCTGACGCTCTATCCACTGAGCCAAACCGGTTCGGGGGGGGGGAAGGAATTTTTTATGTAGGGGGTGTTAAATATACCACAAAAGACCACCCCTAAGCATAACTAACTATACCTAGAGCAAAAGTAAAAAGAAAAAAAAAGTTACAGATGATGTATTCTAAAAAAGTAATTAACAGAAATTATGAGATTTTAAAGTATGTTAAGGTGTGTCCTTCACCTGTGCAACTGAGCTCTAAAAACAAAATCTCTTCTAAAACATATCTCTTAACATCAATGTCACATAGACTACTTCATAGAAATGTTATGGGTTTGTTTCAGGAAGGCAGTTCTCATAGTGGAATGATCAATGGATCACAAGACTGGGCCCTAGGATCTAGCACCACCTCCATCCAGTCCTTGGATTTGCTATATCTAACTACATATAGGGCACTTCAAACTCTTTGTGGTCAAAGCTAAACTCATTATCTTCATTCAAACCTGTTCCTTGTCTCTTATTCCCTTTCCTAGTTAATGCTATCACCTAGTCCAGTGGTCGGCAAACTCATTAGTCAACAGAGCCAAATATCAACAGTACAATGATTGAAATTTCTTTTGAGAGCCAAATTTTTTAAACTTAAACTATATAGGTAGGTACATTGTTATTAACTTAATTAGGGTACTCCTAAGGCTTAGGAAGAGCCACACTCAAGGGGCCAAAGAGCCGCATGTGGCTCGCGAGCCGCAGTTTGCCGACCACTGATCCTAGTCACACAAGCAAAAAGTAGAGGGAATGCTTCTCTTTTTTTCCTACTTCCCCTCCTCTTAATCATCAACTTTCTCAAATGTTCCCTCTTCTCCATCCTTAGTGCTACTTCTTTAGTTCAGGCCCTCTCCATTGCTGGTGTGGACTTTTGTATCAATCTAACTCATCCCCCTGTTTATAGTCTTGACTCCTTCAAATTCATTCCTCATATAGCTTCCAAAGCAATTTTTAAAAACTGTAAATCTAAGTTATCAAATTTATTACTATAAAATTGTTCATAATATTCCCTTATATTTTTAATGTCCTTAGGATCTGTAGATATGTCTCCTCTCTCATTACTGTTACAGTAGGTCCTTGGGTTACGTCAGAGATCCGTTCCTAAACGCGATTTTTGCTGTAAGTCGGAACCCACCTACATAAGCACCTACGTCATTCACATGAAGCACATATACAGAAGTAATGAAGTGAAACAGTAAAAAAAATTTTAAAGAAAGATAACAATTCCTGACCTTTACTTGTGGTAAATAAATAATAAAAAACATAAAGCACATATGTACATACGTCGAAATGACGGAACATTTTTTTTTTAATAAATGGGAGATGGCAATGTAACCACAAAACAACGTACATCGAGTCCAACATAACACAAGGACTGTCTGTATTAGTAATTTCTTTTCTCTTTTTTTCCAGATCAATCTAACTAAAGACTTAACAATTTTATTGATTTTTCTCTAATGCTTTTGTTTTTTATTTTATTTATTTCTGCTCTTATCTTTTTAAAACTTGATCATCTAATATTCTTTTTTCAAAAGATATATTTTTATTGATTTCAGAGAGGAAGAGAGAGGGAGAGAGAGACAGAAACATCAATGATGAGAAAGAATCATTGATCCATGTCCTGCATGCCCCACACTGGGGCTCGAGCCGGCACGTGGCCCAAACGGGAATCAAACCGAGATCTCCTGATTCATAGGTTGACACAACCACTGAGCCAAGCCGGCCGGGCTAAATATTTTAAACTGATTTTTAGAGAGAGAGGAAGAGAGAAACATCGATGTGAGAGTGAAACATCGATCAGCTGTCTCCTGCACGACCCCTAGTGGGGATCAAGCCCACAACTGGGGCATGGAGCCAGCAACCTGGGAATCAAACCAGCAACCTTTCAGCGCACAGGAAGTTGCCCTACCAACTGAGCCACAACAACCAGGGCTACTTTTATCTTTTTAAAAATCTGCTTTCTACTTATTTAGGTTTCATTTGCTCTACTTCTTCTAGTTTCTGAAAGAACTTTGATGATAATTTGAGACATTTCTTCTTTTCTACTATAGTGCTTAATGCTATAAATTTTCCTATAAACAGAACTTTAGCTACATAAAATTTTAATACAGTGTATTTCATTTTCAGTAAATTCAAAATATTTTCTAATTTCCCTTGTGATTTCTCTTAAACACACAGATTATGTAGAAGATTGTGATTTAAACTCCAAATTCTTGGGATTCTCTTGATATCTTTCTGTTATTGATGTCTAATTTAACTCTACCATGGTCAGAGAATATAGTTTGTATGATTCTAATCCTTATACATTTATTGAGACCTGTTTTGTTTCCAAAAATATAGTCTATCTTGGTAAAAGTACTTGAAAAGAATGTATATTCTGCTTTATTGGGTGAAATGTTCTACAAATGTCAATTAGGTCAAATTATAGAAAATCCTGAAGTATCTACAAAAAAGCTATCAGAATTAATAAATGTATTAAGCAAAGTTGCAGGATAAAAGGTTAGTATAAAAAACTCTGGTTTTTTGCCTTAGCTAGTTTGGCTCAGTTGATAGAGCGTCGGCCTGGAGACTGAAGGGTCCCAGGTTCGATTCTAATCAAGGGCACATGCCTGGGTTGAGGGCTTAATCCCCAGTGGTGGGTGTGCGGGAGGCCGCCGATTGGTGATTCTTTCTCATCATTGATGTTTCTATCTCTCTCTCCCTCTCCCTTCCTCTCTGAAATCAATAAAAAAAAATATTTTAAATAAACAACCTGTATTTTTATGTATTAGCAACAAACAAACTGGATATTAGGATATTGTATAACAATTACCATTTACAATAGCATCAAAAATATAAACTACTTAGAGATAAATTTAATAAAATATGTTTAAGTCCTACACATGGAAAACTATAAAATTACTGAGAGAAATTACAGAAGATATAAATAAATAGAGAGATATACCATGCTCATGGATCAGAAGACTCAGTATTATTATGATGTGAATTTTCTTCCTATTGGTCTATAGCAGTGATGGCGAACCTTTTGAGCTTGGCGTGTCAGCATTTTGAAAAACCCTAACTTAACTCTGGTGCCATGTCACATATAGAAATTTTTTGATATTTGCAACCATAGTAAAACAAAGACTTATATTTTTGATATTTATTTTATATATTTAAATGCCATTTAACAAAGAAAAATCAACCAAAAAAATGAGTTCGAGTGTCACCTCTGACACGCATGTCATAGGTTCGCCATCACTGGTCTATAGATTCAATTCAATCATAATCAAAATCCCACCAACCCTTTTTGTAGATATTGATAAGCTAATTCTAAAGTTTATCTAAAGATGCAAAGGACATGCTTGACATAGAATAACTAAAGTACCAATCTAACCACATTATACTTTTGTTTAAACCTTTCACTGTTTTCCCACTGCTTTCAGGGAAAAAAAATCTAAATTCCTCAGCATGGAAGACAAACGCACTTTATAGCATGACCCCTGATTACCTCTCTCATTACATCTACTCCTCCTCCTTATACTTTATATTACAGCCACATAGAATGAATAGCAGTTGCCAGAACATGCTGTGCTGATCATGAGTCTATATCTCATCATTTCTGCATGGAATACTCTCTCCTCGCTTGTCAATCTGATAATCTATGTTTCAAGAATTAACTCAAGGATCAGCTACTCTGTGAAGTGTTCCCTGAATCCCTCAAGTATAAACAGCAACTTCTTCTGTAGACCCCAGCACTTATAATGTACCTCTATTGTAACATTTACCATACTACACAGTGATAATCTACTTATATGTGTATCTCTCTGCTAGACTTTAAGGTCTAATGGAGATCAGGACCTGAGTTATCTTTCCTTGTTTTTTTTAATCCTCACCCGAGGATATTTTTCCATTGATTTTTAGAGAGTGGAAGAAAGAGAGACAAAGACAGAGAGAAATATTGACGTGAGAGAAATACATCGATTAGTTGCCTCCTGCACACACCCCAATCAGGGCCTGGACCAGGGAGGACCCAGAAATCGAGGTACATGACCTTGACCAGAATTGAACCCGGTTCCCTTTGGTCCACAGGCTGACACTCTATCCCAGCGGTTCTCAACCTGTGGGTCGAGACCCCTTTGGGGGTCGAACGACCCTTTCACAGGGGTCGCCTAAGACCATCGGAAAACACATATATAATTGCATATTGTTTTTGTGATTAATCACTATGCTTTAATTATGTTCAATTTGTAACAATGAAAATACATCCTGCATATCAGATATTTATATTATGATTCATAACAGTAGCAAAATTACAGTTATGAAGTAGCAACAAAAATAATTTTATGGTTGGGGGTCACCACAACATGAGGAACTGTATTAAAGGGTCGCGGCATTAGGAAGGTTGAGAACCACTAGAGGCTGAGTTATCTTTTTAATTCTGTACCCCAGTGCTAATATATAACTTGGCACATATAGATTCACAGTAAGTATTGAATATGAGGTGTATGAATCCCCACTATTTCTCAACCTTTTTTCACACAGCAATAGAGTATTCCTATGTCCCTAATTTAAAGAGGCCAGTCTCCAGTCAACAGAGTCCTAGTCTTCTCTCACTCATCCTCTCCTCTCTCACCCTCATAAAAACGACAATTCATTGGGATCAAACACCCTAAAAGTTTTATAAGTGCATGTCATTACCATAGCTCACCTTCAAATCCAACACGCTCAAGCAGGTTCAATGGGTACCAAATTAAAGGTTTGTTCCCAACTGGAAGAAGAGGTTTAGGAATGCTGGAAGTCAGGTCTGTCATCCGAGATCCCCCTCCAACTGCCATTACTACTGCTTGAAATTCCATTTTTACCAACTGCAATCACAGAGAAAAAACAATTAACAGGGAAAAAAGTAACAAAAATTGAAGCATACACACTAATAATGCTATTTCTATCTAGGCTATTGATACCCACTATGTCAACTGCATCACTCCCAACTCCAATAACCAGATAAGAAAGGTTCCTTAGCTGTAGTAAACATAATCTTTATCATATTCTCTTACTAATACAGGGTGAGGCAAAAGTAGGTTTACAATTCTTCGTATGGCAAACCCTATATCATAAAAGCCTAATATGCTAAGTGTCTGGTCGACCGGTCACCATTCAACCAATCAAAGCATAATATGATAATGATATGCTAAGGCCGCTCAACCGCTCCATATGACATGCATTGACAACTAGGGGTAGACGCTCCGACCGGTAGGTTAGCTTGCTGATGGGGTCCCTTGGCCTGGCCTGCACCCTCTTGCAATCCGGAACTCCTTGGGGGATGTCAGAGAGCTGGTTTCGGCCCAGTCCCACAAGCCAGGCTGAGGGGCCCACAGGTGCACAAATTCGTGCACTGGGCCTCTAGTAATATAATAATCTATATAATAAAAGCCTAAGCAACTGTTATGGTGCAACGACCAGAACGACCGGTCGCTATGATGAGTACTGACCACCAGGGGGCAGGCGCTCATTGCAGGAGCTGCCACCTGGTGGTCAGTGTGCTCCCATAGGGGGAGCGCTGCTCAGCCAGAAGCTGGGCTCATGGCTAGCGAGTGCAGTGGCAGTGGTGGGAGCCTCTCCCACCTCTGTGGCAGCACTAAGGAGCAGTGAGCTGAGTGGTAAGGAGCAGCGAGCAGGCGGGCGGTAAGGAGCGAGGGGTCCTGGACTGTGAGAGGGCGCAGGCTGGGCTGAGGGCACACCGTCACCGCCCCCCCCCTGCATGAATTTCATGCACCAGGCCTCTAGTTAAATAAACAATAATACAAGAATAAACTGTGTGTTTCACTTATAGTTCTTACAACTGCAAACCTACTTTTGCCCCACCCTGTATATACTCCAGCTTGGCAGATAGGCTGGAGAAGGAATATAAATTTAAAAAATCTGGCCCCTGCCCTTGAATTGCTCATAATTAAGTAGAGAAGACAAATTCAGTAAATTATAACATGCTATCATTAGTGCTATTGCAGAGATATACTGAGTGGCCAGATTATTATGACCACCCCATCAGTACTTCATTGACACTTCAAAAAATACTGAATATTGAAAACTTCCTAAGCAAATACTCTCAAGGTTTTATTATTATTATTATTTGCATAACTAATTCACTTCATTGTACTGATGGGGTGGTCATAATAATCTGGCCGGTCATAATAATCTGGCCACTCAGTGTATATCCAAGATGAAGTAGGCAAATAGTGAAGGTAATACCTGAGTCTTCTTAGAAAAGACACGGAAGGTTTTATAGAAAGTAATACTTGCACTGACTCTTGAAGAAGTAATAGTTTACCAAGTGGGCTTCTGATTCAGTTCCTATTCCTTGAAACTTTCTATAATTTCTGGCTAAAATCAACTGCACACTACAAGCATAGTAGGTCTCTGAAAAGTATGAAATGACTTGAGATTCCTCCAATAATTCAGCCAATTGTTCCCATCTTCTCATTACCCCCAACTAATATTAAACACAAATGTAGGCTTGTATCTGGATCTAGATTTGAAAAGCTCAATTGCAGAAACAATCCAAATGAATTCCTTTTTAGGAATCCAAATTTAAGGATCCTATTTGACCTTCAAAAGAATCTCTTTACAGCAGCTACCACAGAAAAGAGGCAGAGTAAAAGGTCATAAATCCGAATTGATTAAAAATAAAAGCACTCTTTGCCCCAGTCAGGTAGCTCAGTTGGTTGGAGCGTCATCCTGTACAACAAAAGGTTGTGAGTTCGATTCCAGGCAGGGCACATACCTAGGTTGTGGGTTCGTTCTCAGGTCGGAGCACGTCTGGGAGGTACCGATCAATGTTTCTCACATAGATGTTTCTCTCTCTCTCTCTCTCCTTTCCTCTCTCTAAACATATCCTCGGATGAAGATTAAAAAAATAAAAATAAAAGTATTCTTTGACGTTTTGACTTACAACAAATAATGCAATCTTTTTAATACAAGTGTGAAATGCAATGTTCAGAAAAAGATATTTATTTAACATAAAATTGGCAAATAATGTTGCACTTTTACCATCATTATGATCAGTCCTGGGCCCCTCGCATTAGTATCTAAACTGCAGTACTTACACTCAAAATGAAGGCTCTTGAACAATGTTCACACTTAAAGATATGGTAATTTCGATGGCAGCAAGCATGGACTCAGATTAGAATTTAACTTCAATTTGGCACTCTATAACGCCCCTCACATCTGACGTTATTAAGAATAGAGCACTGGCCTGGCTGGTTTGGTTCAGTGGATGGAGCATTGGCCTGCAGACTAAAGGGTCCCGGGTTCGATTCTGGTCAGGGGCACATGCCCGGGTTGCAAGCTTGATCCCCAGTGGGGAGTGTGTGGGAGGCAGCCAATCAATGGTTCTCATCACTGATGTCTGTCTCTCTCTCTCTCTCTCTCTCTCTCTCTCTCTCCCTTTCTCTCTAAAATCAATAAAAAAATATTTTTAAAAAATAGAGCACTGGTCCTTCCGGAGCCAAAAGGCCCGAGTCTGAGTTCTGGTTCTGCCATTTACAGGTGGTGTGACCAGGGGCCTGACATTTACAACTCTTCGTGTCCTCAGTTCCCAGAAAGGAGCCTGGCGGTAAGTTCCCTGGAGCCAGAGGGGCTGGGTGTGAATTCCAGCTCTACCAGGAATGAGCTGTGTGCACAGGGCCAGCGACATCACTTTCCTACGCCTCGGTTCTCTTCATGTTCTAAGTGAGGATAATGATCGTTTCTGCGTCACCGAGTTGTGGAGGATAAATGAGTTACGCTACGGAAGGCACACAAAATAACGCCAGCCCCAGAGCCAGCGCTATAAAAGCTAGATATTATTAGCGGCTGCCCATGACTCACGCTGCCGTATCGCTCCGGTCTCTGCGTTACCATTCCTGTTTCCTCGGTGCCCTTCTCCGGGGCCCAGTAGTCACCGACTACACTTGAAGACTCAGTGGTAAGAACCATCTGGCCTAAGCAGTCATTCCCCACCCTGCGCACCCTCCTGGTAGAGCGACTCCTTCCCCCAGGTGCTGCTCTCCACCACGTCCAGACGCCTCTGCCTTCACAGGCGTTAACGCCCATGGACTTCAATGTCTGTTCCCCGCGGGTCCTTGAAGGCGGGGGCTGTGTCATCGCTGTATTGTTCCCGGGACCTCACGCACCCCCATCCCACCCCTACCCCCCACCCCCGCCAGGCGCCAGGCACTCGGCGCCTGGGATGAGCGTCTGTGGCCCTCACCACCCTGCGCAGGAGGCGACCCGGTGCCGAGGGACAGACCGCAGAACCCGCGCGCCGGCCGGGACCGGGGGCTCCTCGCTCTCGGCGAGGCTCTGGGCGACAACACGGACATAACTATCCGCGACGCCAGGCGGCTGTCGATGCCTCAGAGTCACTGCCGGGACCCGGTGGGATGGGAATCAAGGCAACGAGTCTCTCCGCGGCCTCTCGAGTGGGAGAGGGCGGTCAGGGCAGCGCAGACACGCTTCCATCACAGCCCCACAGCCTCGTCCCTTTGTAACCGGGTAAGAGAAAACACGGGTCATAATCGATCCCTCACACGGAGCTTACTGTATTCCGTCTTATATGTCACTGCCTCGCACCTAAACAACTACAAACAGGAGAATCGTGAACGAAGGGCTCACGTGGAAGGAGTTCGGGCACTGCGCTAAGGGCGTCGGGTCCTGGGTGTGGGGTTCACGCGCTGTGACTTCGGCAGATCCTCCGCTTCCTGACACTCAGTTTCTCCACCTGTTGCACGAGGTGGTTGGCTCGGGTTCTCCCCAAGTTCTCTTCTAGTTTGGACACTTGGCTTCCCGGACGGCCGGGTCGCGCAGGGACTCGAGCTGGCGACTCTAGGGCTCTGCACGCCCGTGGACCCCCTGAGGCCCTCCCAGGCGAGGCTCGAGGGGCCGCCTCCCTCGGATGCAGCGGGGCTGGGTGGCCGGCACAGGGCTCCACGCCCCCGCCCGGCAGCTCGAAGGCGGCCGGGCAGCGCCAGAGCCGCAGACTTACCTCAGCTCCCGGCGCGCCGCCGCTCCCCGCACTCCGCACGCCGCCTCCGATTGACAGCCGAAGGCGCAGGCGCGCGATGGCCGAGCTGATCGATGGGACGGGACGGAACGGGCCGAGCGCCGAGCGGTAGATTGAGGACCAGAGGCGCGCGCACCTCCGGGGGAAAGTAGGCGGGGCCGCCCTTGCTCTTCATTCACAAATCACCAACACCATTGAGGGTCCCTCCCAGTGCTGGGCTTCTGGAACCCAGATGGGAAAAGATCACGGTCTTCCTGCAGGGAGTTCTCCTTCTAGAACCTGGTTCCGACTACCACTCCGTGAAAAGAGAGCTCATTTGGGAACCGCAGTTTTGGATTAGCCTGTGGAGAAATCACCAAATGCCTGTGCAGGACAGGGCTCTCTACATCCATGAGGTCCAACGTGGCGACTCACGTCGACATTCTGAACCAGGCTATTATTGCACGGAGAACATCCACATTCAGCCATCAAAAGAGTGGGGAGTAGGGGGAAATCCGTCAATGGAGACCTCACTGAGTCAGTGACACTGGACCGCTTGAAGAGAGCGAGTCAAGTGGAGATCTTGGGTAAGAGCCTCCCAAGACTGGCCAGCAAGCACAAAGGCCCTGGAGAGACTGCATGTTCGAAGAACACCCAAAGGAGCCAACAGGACTGAAGGGAGGTAAGCTGGGGGAGATGAATGATGGCCCAGGAGGTCGGAGAGGCAATAGGGGAAAAGGCGGAGAATTCAGATCCTGTGGGCCTATAGGCCATTGTGAGGACCTTGAATTAAATAGAAGGGACATAATATGACAGGTTTGGGAAGGATCACTCTGGAAGCAGTTAGGAGGCAGTCTAATTTCTGTAATTAAAAAAAAAAGGAGTTTGACTTCATTTAACTGTATTTATTGAGTGCCTAACATGTGCAAAGCAGTCTTAGATGCTAGCTGGTGGGGATACAGCAGTCAGTGAGAAAGACAGGACTTGTAATTGTCCCCAGAGAACAGAAGCTCAGCTGCAATCCTACTAAAAAGAAAGATCTGAGGTCATATCCATAAAACCAGCCTTATTCCAGCACTGCCTCTCCTTCACTTTATGCTGCTGGTGATCAGTTATTGCATGCTTATTTATTTTAACTCAACTATAACTCTGAGTGTATTGGTAAAAGCGAGCCATGGAGTGATTGATTTGACTACAAAAGGCCTGAAATTTAACTACTTTTTCCTTCTGCAGCAAGATTCTCTCTCTTTTTAGTATAAGCTCAAGCAAACAGAAGCCTTCAGAATTATAGCATAATTTTAAAGTAAGATCTAGTTATAAAACAAGGACAGCATTCAACTCCATATCCAGCATTCATTTAAAATGCTCTTGTTTGAACTAGCAAAAGTTTTCAGGTAACTAGTTGAGGGAAAGTAGTTGAGGGATCGCTGCATTTAAACTCATTTTATTCTCTCAGGGCAGTGGTTTTTAAACTTTTTGGTCTCTGGACCCTTTACACTCTTAAAAATTATTGAGACCTCCAAAGAACTTTTGTTTATATGAATTATATTTATTGACATTTACCATATTAACAATTTAAACTGAGAAATTAGAAAAACATTATTCATTTAAAAAATAAAAATAATAAAACTACTACATGGGAACATAAATAACATTTTTATGAAAACATATAACTATGTTTTCAAAATAAAACATTTTATTGAGAAGAATGTCATGGTTTTGCCATTACAGATCTCTTCAATGTTTGGCTAAGTAGAAAACAGTTGGATTTTCCCATCAATTGTGATACATTGTTTTGGGTGAATTATATGATGAAAAACTGACCTCACACAGGTAATTGGAAGAGAGATACTTTTTTAAAATATATTTTATTGATTTCTTACAGAGAGGATGGGAGAGGGATAGAAAGTTAGAAACATTGATGAGAAGGAAACATCGATCAGCTGCCTCCTGCAGAACCCCCTACTGGGGATGTGCCCGCAACCAAGGTACATGCCCTTGACCAGAATCGAACCTGGGACCCTTTGGTCCGCAGGCCAATGCTCTATCCACTGAGCCAAACCGATTAGGGCTGGAAGAGAGATATTTTAATAGCTTTGTCAAATAGTTGTAGGTATTAATCTTTGATACTACACCAAAACCCAGTAAGTGATAGCTTGTAAAGATTAGTTGCAATGTAGAATCATTATATCAATGAACATTTTGTACTCTGTTATAATACTTGCACTTTGAGTGGACATTTTACCCATGCGTAATTTTGCAACTTGATGCACTGATCATTTGTAAAATATTGGTTCACTGAGTTATGCGGATCCTCCCAATGTTGACAATATTTTTTAAAATTTATCTTTATTGTTGAAAATATTACAGATGTCCCCCCCCCCCCCATTAACCCCCTCTACGACTCCACTAGGGCTTCACTGCACTAGTGTCTGACCATGGGTTATGCATATAAGTTCTTTGGTTAATCTCTCTACCTCCTCCCCCTTCCCCTTCCTTCTGAGATTTGTCAGTCTGTTCCATGCTTCCATGTCTTTGGATCTATTTTGTTCATCAGTTTATTTTATTAATTAGATTCCACATATGAGTGAAATCCTGTGATACTTATCTTTCTCTGATTGGCTCATTTCACTTAGCGTAATACTCTCCAGGTCCCTCCATGCTGTCTCAAAGGATAAGATATCCTTCTTTTTCACAGCTGTGTAGTATTCCACTGTGTAAATGTACCACAGCTTTTTTATCCACTCATCTACTGATGGGCATTTGGACTGTTTCCAGATCTTAGCTATTATAAATAACATAGGGGTGCATATATTCTTTCTGGTTAGTGTTTTGAGATTCTTGGGTTATATTTCTATAAGTGGGATCACTGGGTCAAATGGCAGTTCCTTTTTTTTTTTTTTTGAGAAAACGCCACACTGTTTTCATAGTGGCTGCACCAGTCTGCATTCCCACCAGCAGTGTTCTAGGGTTCTTTTTTCTCCACAACTTTGCCATCACTTGTTGTTCTGGCAGGTATGAGGTGATACCTTATCGTCGTTTTAATTTGCATCTCTCTGATGATTAGTGATGAACATTTTTTCATAAGTCTCTTGGCTATTTGTATGTCCTCTTTGGAGAAGTGTCTATTCAAGTCCATTTTTTAAAAAATAAGTTTTTATTGATTTCAGAGAGGGAGGGAGAGGGAAAGATAGAAACATCAATGACAGAGAAACATTGATCGGCTGCCTCCAGCACAGCCCCTACTGGAAATCAAGCCTGCAACCTGGGCATGTGCCCTGACTGGGAATCGAACCAACAACCTCCTAGTGCATGGGATGATGCTCAACCAACTGAACCACATCAGTTGGACTGCCCATTTTTTAATTGGATTGTTTGTCTTCCTTCTGTTGAGTTGTATGAGTATTTTATATATTTTGGAAGTTAACTCCTTATCAGATGTATCATTAGCAAATATGTCCTCCCATACAGTGGTTCCCTTTTCATTTTGATGCTGGTTTCTTCTGCTGTGCAGAAGCTTTTTAGTTTGATGTAGTCCCATTTGTTTATTTTCCCTTTATTTCTCTTGCCCTTAATTTATACGATGTTTTTATTTTTACTTATTTTTAAAATAATTCTTTATTGTTGAAAGTATTATATATGTCCTCCCCCCCAACACTTGACCCCCACAGCCCCTTGCCCCCCATACAATATTTTTAAAATAACATTTGTTACTGTCACCACTAATTTCATCAGAAAAGTCCTTAAATATTGGAAAGCTGGCAAGCTGATAATGACAGATACAACTTTTCCAAACTTCTGATTTTCTTTTGAAAGCTCAACTATTATCATTGGCAACAAATACTGTTAGTGGTTTTCCTTGAAGTGGCTGGCTTACTCCATTTTGATAATTTGTTGGCCATAGATTGTCAATTGTTCTTTCAAGTAAATATAGTGTTCTATGAAAAAAGTAGTTCACAAATAAAACTATTCAGGCAAGTTCTTTTTCTGGAGACAAATCATCATACTTCTTTAGTATGTACATTTCCTATTTTGTCACAGAATATTGAAAAGAAATGTACCCAATGAGCAAATTTAATAAAATTATTTTATTGCATTATCAAAGACATTCTTAAGTGAAACTTACTTTGCTTTATTATTTTTATTGCAAGTGTGTGTAAGTAACTATGAACACGGTGTGGTATCACTGCTTTGATCCATGTAGAGCACCAGCAGTTTTACATTATTGCTTTTGCACCATCAGTGTCAATATCAACACAATAAAAGAGGCAAATAGTGTTTTAGTATTATTAAGAAAATAGTTTTGACCTGACAGATACCCTGCAAGTGTCTTGGGGACTGACTCCCGGAGGTTCGCAGAGTGTACTTTCAGAGCTGCTGCCTATGAATTCCTTCTTTCCGGCTCCCACTGCTTCTAGTGCTTACCTATGGCACTCACCATAAAGGACTGTCATCCCCTTTTCCATGTCTTCTCTATCACACTGGAAACCCTTTGAGGCTATATCTGACTTGTTCCTCTTTCCAGAACAGGACATTTCCTATCACAGGACCTGACATGCTAAGTAAATAATAGTGAATGAATTAAACATTTTTTTATGTCTTCCTGACTTTCCATTTGGTGTTGGGAAAACTGGGCTGAGGGCTGGGGTCACTGAGATCTCTTCTCCTGAACATTCCTTCTTATGACATCAGTCTATATTATTATCTCTCATGCCTAACCTCATGCTTATTGTTTATTTTTATTTATTAGTCACATGGGAAGTACTTGATAAATGCTTATTGAACACAGGCTGTTCCCTGTTCATTGCCCGCTCACATTTCTTCTGCCAGAGGCATTTGTGTGTATGTGTTTGTATGTTGTGGGGGAATAGTTTAAGGTCAATCTCTAAAGGTCTCTTTGAACAGTGGGAGACAAAAGAAACCTTTCAAAAGTTGGGCCTTGGACCAGAAATACTCTTCCCACAGTCTATCTGCAAGAGATCTCTCTTT